GCCCGGGCCCCGTCGGGGCGGCCGGGGCGGGGCGATGCCGGGCGGTGGCAGCGGCGGCCCGGGCCGGGGCCCGTGACCATGGGCATCGCCGAGTCCACCCCGGACGAGCTGCCGTCGGACGCCGAGGAGCAGCTGCGCAGCGGCGAGCAGCAGCTGGAGCTGAGCGGCCGGCGGCTGCGGCGCCTGCCCAGCGCCGTGTGCGCGCTGAGCCGCCTGCAGAAGCTCTACGTGAGCGGCACCGGGCTGCGCGAGCTGCCCGAGGAGATCGAGGAGCTGCGCGAGCTGCGCATTCTGGCGCTCGACTTCAACAAGCTGGAGAGCCTGCCCGACGGCCTGTGTCGCCTGCCGCGCCTCACGCGCCTCTACCTGGGCGGCAACCGGCTGCTGGCGCTGCCGGCCGACTTCGCGCAGCTGCAGAGCCTGCGCTGCCTCTGGATCGAGGGCAACTTCCTGCGGCGCTTCCCGCGGCCGCTGCTGCGCCTGGTGGCGCTACAGTCGCTGCAGATGGGCGACAACCGGCTGCGCGCGCTGCCCGCGGAGCTGCCGCGCATGACGGGCTTGCGTGGTCTCTGGCTCTACGGCAACCGCTTCGAAGAGTTCCCGCCCGCGCTGCTGCGCATGGGCCGGCTGCACATCCTCGACCTGGACCGCAACCGCCTGGGCGGCTTTCCCGACCTGCACCCGCTGCGCGCCCTGCGAGTTTTCTCCTACGACCACAACCCAGTCACCGGACCTCCGCGCGTGGCGGACACCGTTTTCCTAGTAGGCGAGGGCGCCGTCGAGCGCATGGCTGAGCGCGACGAGCCCGTTCCCCGGCCTCCTGCCCGGCGTCCGGTCCGGGTCTTTGAGGATGAGGAGGAAGAAGACCTGCTCATAGGGGGCGCAGGCCCCAGGGCCCTGGGGCCCGCCAGGGACAGCCTTCGAGCCTTGGAAGCCCCTCCAGGATTGGGTACCTGAGCCTCTGCCCTGAGTGGTGGGCTTGAACACTCTGGAAGGAGGGGCTCCGTCGCTGGGCCTCTGACTTGGGGCCGTGAAGGAGCGGCATTGAGTGAGCTGCCTGGCTGAGTTAGGCCTGAGGCCGTCTTCACACACTCCTAGGCAGTAAGAGAGACTCCCTGGGCTGACCTCTGGGCAGTTTTCAGACCAAGAAGTCTGGGACCGAGCCACTGATGGTACCACAGATGAGCCGGTTCTCACCTGGAACCAGGGTCACCGCCCTCCAGAGAATCATCCCCGCTGACTCTGGACGTCCAGGGGGCCTATCACTTCCACCTGGGGTTTGGATCTCCTAGGCCTACCCTAGCTGTTGCTGGGGTCATTACCTCTGGGGCAGACTGTACGGGGACAACCCTGCCCCTCTGCGTGTTGGGGGTTCTGGCCACAGGCAAGGCATAGGGACTCCATCCGAGATAGACGCAGACACAGTTGGGACCTAACGCCTCAGCTTTCCTCAGTTCTCCACCAGGTCCCCGACAGCAGTAAGGTGCACAGAAGAGAGGGTCTCCCCGCCCCGCCTTTCTTCCTGATTTCTTTTCCCAGCATGTGCTGAAATATTGCTGGGCAAAGAGAGATCTTCCCTCTCCGATAGCCTGTGCCCTCAGTTGTCAAGTTTGAGAAGATGACACTGAGCCTCTTAGGGCTTCCTGCCGGGAAGAGAGAGGGGCTCTGCACTCTAGGAGGCTGCCCGGGGCCTCTCTGCTGCCTGCACTCTCCATTTCCTTACATGGGCACAGCCAGGGTGGCTGGCACGGCATGGGGCACTGGACGGCACCATGTGCCTCTACTCCGTCACCAGGGACAGCCTCCGAGGGGGTGAGGAGACCAGGCTTTGCAATTCCCAGGGCCAGATCCAAGCAATAACAGGAGGAGAGGGCCAGAGGACACTCAGGGACACTGTCAGGGGCTGGAGCCCTTGGAAGGTAGTGTTTTCTTTGGGAAGAAGAAGAAAAAAAAAAAAACTGGTTGTAAACATAAATTATATTTCTTGGAGAAAGAATGTGTGTTTCCCACGTCTATTTATTTATAAGCTCGGGAGCACCAAGTTCTACCACTATGGGCGAACCTCCCCCACCAGTGTACCCCAACTCTGTGTCAGGATGACCCCGGCCAGCTGCTGTGTGCCCATTACAGAAAGAAAAGGCGTTGGCTGTCTGAAGCTAGCCTCCTGGCATCTTTGGGTGTCTTCATGTTCTGGCTCACGCTACCCTTGTTTATGCTGTGGGGGTCATCGGCAGCTTAGTTCTCAGTTCCGATTCTAGGATCTCCTACCAGCTGGGCTGGCCTTCCTCTATTCTCTCACCCGTACTGGCCCTGCCCACTCACTCTGTGGCTGCTCTTGCTCCATTCTCCTTTGCCTTTCTCAGCCTTGGTTCCCTCCGTTTTGGCCTCCATCACCATGGCAATAAGAGCTGATGTCATGTGGGGCCAAAAGGTCAGGCTCAGCCCAGTAGCTGGGCTGGTTGGTATATTTGGCTGAGCTCTGGGTAAGGAGGAGGCTGGGCATGGCTCTGGAATGAGGTAAGACTAGATGGACAGAAAGAGTAAAGGGGGGGGGGCAAATTGGGAACTGCTTCAGGAGTAAGGCTAGTGTAGGACCCAACTGTAGGTGTTGTCTTTGTTGAGGTTCAGTCTGAGGTGTTGGGCCTTGTTGGGCTTTGGTAATGTGGAGGTAAGGATTTGGGAGGTTGTTGGGGCGAGGACAACTGCAGACCACCAGAGACGGAGGCTCCTGACCCAGAACTTGTCAGGTACGGCGGAAACCCCCGTGGACCAGGTCTGACCCTGCTCCTAGCTCTGCTTTTGGCTGAGTGGCCCTGATGAAGTCTCAGCTCCCTGGGCCTGTTTCTCCTGCTGTAGATGAGGAGTTGGGTTTTTAAAAGTCTGATGCTCCAGCCCGAGACTCCACTCATCGTTTACCCACAGTCCTTTCTTGTGTAGCTAACAGCTCAAGTTTCCTTCCTCCCTGATGTCTCTGCCCCCCTACCCTGACTCATCCAAGGTGGAATGGTCTGGGCAATGCCCTACAGTGGACTTCCTTTCACTATTCTGAAGTGTTCGTGTTCATGTTCAGGTCCCTCCTTTTCCTCTTTGTCCAGCTTGGCACCCTTATCTAAGGCTATTTATCAACCAAGCAGGAGCTACTGTGGCTGTCGGAAGGGGATCCAGTTTCCACTGGAAAGTTAGTTTGGTTAGAGTTCTTCACATACGAACCTGATGCACACCGTTAGGAATCTCGCATGAGGAAGTGAGGGCACCTGGGAAAGGATTATCTATTGCCAACTCCCCTGGTACAGCTCCCCTCGGTGGTGAAAGCACTGTGGGAGGGCCCCATCATTACCTAAAACTTCGTGACTTGGCCCCTGGAGATAAGGAAAGAGGTGTGCCTTGTCTGTGGTCCCCACACAGTCTCAGGGGCACTCAGAGGTGGCACACATGGGGAAAAGAGTTGGATGTGTGCCAGGCAGGTGCAGAGGCCAAGGGAGCTGGCAGTTAGAGCAGGAGAAAAGGCCAAGGGAACCTGAGTGGAGGGCAGAGGAGGTGGTAGGGAAGGAAACAGATTGAGGAGAGTCTGTGACCTGCCCATTGGCCTATTTGTAGACTCCTAACCCGGTGCTCAGTTCCCACTATGGAAGAGCTACTCTGTCCTTGGCTGGCTGGCAAGTTGGCAAGTGAGATGGAAAAGAATTATTGCCTGTCTCCTCCCCTCTGACCCTCAAGTCTCCAGACTGGTTCCCAAGCCTCCAGACTAGCTGACCTCTTGATTGGCAGGCAGGGCATCCAAGACTGGGAATGTTAGCAGGATCTTTTCCTAGCTTTGTTATTGTCCAGCACAAGGGTTTTGGTAAAGGAGGAAGTGGGGTGACTGGGGACTGGAGACCCTCTCCAGAAGCCCCTCCCCTCCCATGCAGTCACATGAACTTATCTCTTCCAAAGCTTCCTCAAGACATCAGGGCACCATGATTCTGAAGATGGACATTTATTACCACAGCCAGGCGTGCCACACGGAACGTGTATTCAGACAGGGAACCCTGCCCAAGGGCTCACAATCTAAGAGACACCACCCTCGCACACTGTGCACACGCAGACACATACACAGGCACACACAGGACCCAGACACAGGGGAGCGGATGACTTCACAAGAAACAGATGGGGCGGCTGAGGATGGGGCATCAGGCATACTCTGATTGTCCTTCGGCTGTCTTTCTCAGAGAGGGAGAGGAGAGCCCAGAACCCAGGAAGGCCAGTGAGGCCTTTGGAAGCAGTGTGTCTGAGAGGGACTTGCAGGAGAAAGTGGTCTCAGGCACATAGAGGGATGTGTGAGCAGCTCAGAGCAGGCAGAGGGAGTTGAGTCCAGGGGAGAAGCCCTGTGCCGGTGGCCGGGCTCTGGCACCTCTGCTTGCTGAACCACCTATGCTAAAGCTATTATTACCAGGGTTTACTTTCCTGGAGAAAAACTAAGCCAAACCCAGGGTGATTTAGGGTGCTCCTGAAGCTACTTACCTGACCCCAGGACTCCTTCCAACCTCTGGAGTAGAAGCCAAAAGAATCTGCTTGTTATCCACTCCCAGATGCGTGTGTACGCTAGGTGCACTAGCTGCACCTCTGAGGTACACCCCAGCCTACATACAACTTTTCAAAGGATGCTTAAACCATACTGTAGGAAGTTGAAGGGGAAGAAGGGGGAAAGGTGGGCAGCTTCAGAATGGGGGCACTTAGTACAGATGGAGGAGATGGCTCCTGGTCCCAGATGTGGGGGGACAGAGGGTATGTGACCCTCTTCAGTCCAGAGTGGGGCAGGTCCCCTGGAGATATGGGGTTCTCTTAGTGCTTATCTGAAGCAGATATAGTTTGCCTTCTGCAGTACCCTGAGAACTGGCAGGCCAGCTGCCCTGGACCTAGCAGGGAGTGGCTGGGAAATTATTGCTTCTTTGTGAATAGACACTGAGAGCACAGCAAAGGACATGGCTTGCCAGGACCATAGACAGGAGGGCACTGGAGTTCAATTTCTCAGGCCCTCAGGTTGGAACTTGCCAACAGGGATTTTTAGATCGGAAATTTTTTTTTTTTTCCCCAACCATAGAGAATCAGCCTAGACAACAGGTTGGAGAAAGGCCACAGGTCCAGCATGTTAACCTAGAGCTCAGCCTATCCTTTCTTTTCCCTGCCAGGACCTGGAAGGAGACATCAGCCCCAAATCAGAGCAGCTGAGCAGGTGATGATGAGATGGTGGTTGGAGGTGGGGTGGGGTCCCACCTTTGCTTTTTCTACCTACCTGGTAGAGTGATAAGGGTTCCCTGGTGAGAGAGGGAATATATTCCCAGCTACATGAGCTCCAGGGGAGACCCCGGGGAGTTCCCACTACTTCTAAGCATTAGGCCTGGGACATGCAATGCTGCCTGCTTTGGGGATGCCGTTGAGTGTGGGGATTCTAAACTAGATCTGAGAGTGAGCTGCAAGCTTAGGCAGGTCGAAGCACTAATGCAGAGTCGAGTCCCACAGGTGACATGCTCAGTAGAGATACCCACAAGGCTTCCCAGTCTCCCCAATCCCAGCTGCTGCTCCCCTTGGGGGAAGGGAGAGAGGGCTGGGACCCACAGAGGAAACAGCCAAGGCCCTACTTTTTCACGATCCTTTATTAATCAGAACAGGCCTTGCCGCAAAAAGCAGGGCCCATTCCCACAAAAATATGGTTTTGCAAAGAGGAAAATTTTGCTGGCTTAGAGGGTGCATATGGTGGAAATTTTTGTATGGTTCTTTTTTCCTTTTTTTTTTTTTTCTTCATTTCTCTTTGCTGTATTTTTTTCTTTTTTTGTGATAGTGGATTTTTGTTTTATTTTTTATAAAACACTTGCGCTCAAGGACTCAAACACAATACAAACAGTGCCACCAATTCCCACCCCTGGGGCCCCCAGCTGAGCTGGGAATCCCTTGGCTATTATTATTATTATTATTTTTTCTTTTGTGGCTGTTTTCCTTTGTCCCTTCCCTGGCCTCTGGTGCTGGAGGGCAGGTGGAGGGGTATGCTTGGGCAGGTGGAATTTGTATAGCAGTTACATGGGTGATGGTCACAAGGATACCTAAACGACACAACAGCTAAGTCTAGGGTGCCCACAAGATGTTAGATGATGCCCATTAAGGGGCTCGGGACACAGTGAAGAGACAGATCGGCTCTGGTGGTCCCTAGAGGCTCTGTGGGGCAGGGTGGATGGGCAGGTGGGCTTTGCTTTCAGGCATCAGTGACAACTGCTCTGGGTGGCACCTTCAGAGCCCTCCTGCCTTGATCCCCTAGGTCAGGTAATGGTGGCCTCACAACCTCCCCCATGAGGTAGGTGAAGTATTATTACCATCATTTTACAGATGGAGAAACTGAGGCCCAGGGAGTGTGGGTGACTTGCCCAAGATCCTAGGATGGTGGTGGCAGAGCTCTGGTGTCTTCCCCACCCTCAAGTTCCTCCATTTCTCAGCTCCCTCCCCCCCCCCCCTCCCCCCCCGCCCCCCCCCCCCCCGCCATTACCCTAACTTTCTTATGCTCAGATTCCTATCAGCCAGCTGCTTCTTGTGCAAATCCACTCTGCTCTTGGCTCACCATTTGGAGTCTCTTGCTGGTATCCCTCACTCCAGCTACATGTAGGGGAATTCCAGGTTGGGTCAGACCTAGGTAGGGTCTGAGGGGGAATAGCTGTGTGTGGGGGATGCTCTCTGAGCTGACTGGCTAAGAGGTGCATGAAGGAGCCTCGCATAAATCTGCTGCTCTCACATAAATCTTCTTACTCACTGGTGCAAGTTGCTTGGGTCCCTCAGATGGCTCTGTGGGAGTGCTCAGGAGACCGAGGCAGATGGAGGGAAGGATGGGAGCAATTGCTCTCAAATTTCTAGACTCTTGATAGTACCCTCTTCTATTTCCACACAGCCTCTGGGGTCCCTTTCTGGGGGCTACACCCAGCTGGGCAAGGCAGTTGGAGCAGACCCCACTTAAAGCAAAAGCTGCAGTAGAGAAACATTTAGATTTACAAGTAACATGGGTAACTTTTTTTTTTTTTTTTTTTACAATGGAATTTTTCACTCTACAAATGATTCGCCTACTACATAAGAGGTCCCAGGGAACCGGGTGTGAAATTCAATTTAAGAACATTTTGATATGGGCAAAAGGAGATCTCGCTGCCTAGAGCAGAAAGTTGAGCTCCAGGGGAAGCCCACTGGAGGGAAATGTGCCCAAATATCTATGCTTCCACTGTGCTCTGGATATGCAGATCCAGTCCAGAGCCCAGGGTAGAATTGTGGTCCCAACTGCTACCACAGATGTGGTGCTCTGGTGCCACCTCGTGGTAGGTTATGGGAATGTTGGGCTCAAGCCTGAACTGGTTTTAAAGCTCTGTCACTGGCTGGCTCTTTTCTCAGTACAGCATAGAGGGATGACAGGACTTCAGAGGGATCACTTTGGAGTCTGCTGTTTCCAAGGGGAAGCCATCTCCAGTCTCCGCAGAGGCTCGGAGGAGAAACGGCAGCTTCTTTGGGTATGGCAACTTCAGACTCCTGGAATGTTCCCTGTTTCCTCTGTGTGCATGGTGGGTGGGAGGGGCAGAAAGAGGGGGATCAGGGGGATTAGGGGGTTGTACCAAGACAGCCTGGAAAAGATCAGATTATGCAAATAAAGGGATGGAGGTGTTGGGGTGAGGAGTGGGGACAAGGGGCTGTATCCAAGCCAGAGAGCGTGGAGCAGATGCCAACTTGGCTGGAATATGAGATCTGGGAAGGTGGGAGTCCCCGGGTAAGGGGTTAGGGATGCCTGAGAAGGAGGGAGTGGTGCCCTGTTGGAAGGCCATGCACACGGTGAATAAGTCCCTACAAAGTGTAAGCCCAGGCCCAAGAAACAACATTGGAATGGGAAATTGCTACTGGGGAATTAGGAGGGTGGGGGCTACAGAGACAGGCAAAGTGGGTGCCAGGAGCATCTGCCTTGGCCCCCACTCCTTCTGGTCAGCTATCCATACCTTTCCTCTCCTGCCTTCCCTGTGACCTTGACCTCTACCTGACCCAGTCCCACTTCATCCTCATGAAATTCTGCTACTCTCCATAGCCAGTCAGCACTGCCAGCCCCAGGGGACAGGGAGTGAGCACCCCCTTTCACACATGTGCACATGAGCTTACACACATGCACACACACACACACACACACACACACACGCACACACACACACAGTAGACACAACACAAATACACAGGGCCACGTCTCCAGGACCCTGGAGCACAGGCTATATACTATCCTTGGCGTCCAGGGCGCAGCCGGCACCTGAAGCTGGGGGTGGGCCTGATGACCAGGCTGAGGCCAAACGCCTCAGCCTTCCTCTCCTGGGCCCCAAAAAGGAGGGCTAGAAAGTGGTGGCTTCTCTCCACTCCAGGCACTGCCTTAAAGAAAACGGAGGGCTATGCCCACCTGGCGGGCCTCTGGAGGGATCTGCCCATCTGCCCATCTGGCTCTTGAGCTTCCCCCACTTCTTTAGTATCAGCAAATCAAGAAAGAAAGAGGCAAAGCAGGGAAATGGCTCCCAGAGCCCTCACTCCCAAGTTGGACTCATGGGGGTGGGGCTGGTACTTCCTAGAAATGGGGCCCAGTAGAGTTCTGGTACCCCTTCCTGTCTGAGCCCTCAGGGTTCTCCCCTCACCCATGTCAGGGGGGCCGGGCTGGGCATTGTGCATAAAGTGGTAGGGACATGATGGGGACCCAGGCCTTGGCCCTTAAGGCCTCCCTTGGCCCCACTCAGGCTTTCAGCTGGTGCCACTGGGCCACAGGCTGCCGGGGACGAGCGATCATGTCCTTCCAGTGTTTTACTTCACCTGGTCCGCTCTTCCAGGACAGGTAGATCTGGGGAGGAAGAGAAGATGCATTATGGCAGGCTCCGAGGCTTGGGCCCCGTCCCATAGTAACAGCCTGGACTATGGAAGCTGCCCCTTTCCTTCCCTGCCAGCCTGACCTAGTTTTTTGCCTGTGCTATCCCCTCAAGGGCCTGGGCATGCCTGGCCCTTTGACATCAGACTGTAACCTATTTTGCAGTGAAGGTCAGGACACAGGCAGTCGTCTGGGGCAACCTTCCCTGCCCTTGCCCTATGAAGGGGCCACCCTTGTTGCTATCTCTCCCATCTCCTGTCATTTCTTGTTCTCACCCCATCAGGCTCCGCTCCAGGGGCTTTACATCTAGAGGTCAATGTACCCTTGCAAACCTGGCAGGTGAGCGGACTACATGATTAGCCATAGTTTTCAGATGGAGAAACTAAGGCACACAGAGATAAGAGTCTTACCTTCAGCCAGAGTTTAAAAGTTGAAAATGGTGTAAGGCAAGCCTTGGGGGTTCTAGACTACCAAGCCATCCCAGGCCTGTGTAAGGGCTCCTCAACATTGCAGGGCTGCCCTAGAACCCCCACCTCCAAAGTGGTCTCAGCTGAACCTGATCTGGATACTGACAGATGCTTAAGACCAGATGCATTGGAAGAAAAGCAGAAAGTGTTGCAGGACCCTGATCAGGGCCCCGTGAGGCCATCAAGATGATAACTTAGAGGGCAAGAAACAGTCACAGGCCGAAGAGCCTGGGGACTGGACAACTGAGTACAATGTGCTAGCTGATACTGGATCCTGGAGCAGAGATGAGGTGGTAGCCGAAGAACTGGCCAAATGCAAGTGGAGTCTGGTGGGTTCACATCAAGATCCCATGTCAGTTCCTTAAGCTGTGGCAGTTGCAATGTGAGGGGAATAGCAGTTGATGACAGGGGGCAAGATGGATATGGGCACTCCATTTTATCATTGCTATTTTTCTGTAAACTTAAAAGTATTTAGCAAGGTGTAGCATCTCATACCTAAAACCTTCACACTAAGGCAGAAGGATTGCTATGAGTGTGAGGTCAGCCTGGAGGTACATAGTGAGTTTGAGGGCCAGCCTGGGCTTCAAAGTGAGATCCTGTCAAAACAATAAAATACCAAAATAAAATGAACAAATACTATTCAGGGGAGGAGTATGTCTCCCAGCCTCAGGCCCCTCTGTGCAATGGACTGATAATAGAGCCTGACTAACAGACAGCTGGAGGTGGTGCACATTTGCTGCCCTCATGTGACTGAGTTCTCAGTCAGTTCTCTCTCTTTCTGAGGCTCAGTGGCTACTCCTGCCCACTATCCCATGACTATCACCATAGGGTCACGGCCAAGTGCTCCTGTGTGCCTGCTTGCATTTGCAACATTACCCAGCGTGATGCCACAGCCTGGAGCAAGGCCAGATTCCCAGCCTTCAGGAGCTGAGCTGGTCCTGTGACTCAGAAAGGTTCCGACGTTTTTGGGCTTTCTAAACTACCCCAGGCTAAAGCAAGACCAAAACCACTTTTGGCTTGGTTCTGCCCACCAAAAGCTAGTCTGTTAAAGTTGCCAAACATAATCTCCAAAGAACACCTAATTCTAGAAGGCAGAACTGTGGGAGGGGCTAAAAGGACTCTGGGGCTCAGTGGGCTCTGCCCTGACCATACACTCTAGCTGCTGTACCTGTGCGTATAGGTTGGCTGAGTGATTCTCCCAGAACCAGCCTTCTTCCACAAGGCTAGCTGCTTTCCTCTTCCCAACAATTGGGCCCTCCTTTTCATTTGTCTGAGGAATGCCTCCAGACTGGCCCCTTCCCTGCAGGTGCCAGCCCATCCTTCTCCAAACACATGTTGTTTGGGATTTGAATGAGAATGGCCCCTGTAGGCTCATTATATTGAAATGTTTGGTCCCCAGCTGGTGGAACTGTTTGGGAAGGTTTAGGAGGTGTGGCTTTATTGGAGGAAGTATGTCATCGAGGAGGAGGGTGACTTTGAGGTTTCAAAAGTCCACACTATTCCCACTTATCCCTCTCTGCCTTGAGCCCATGGATCAAGATGTGAGCTCAGCTGCTGCATTAGCACTCTGCCTGTCTCCCTGCTGCCGTGTTGCCCACCATGATGGTCATGGACTCACCCTAAGAAATTGTAAGCAAGTCCCTGATGACATTATAAGCTGCCTTGGTCACGATCTTTTTCAAGGCAGTGGGAAAGTAACTAAGACAGTCATATACTCAGGGCCCTGTGTTTCCCACTCCGTCATTCCCTCTGCCCTGGTCAGTTGTTCTGCACTGTTTCTGGTCGAACTTCTAAGATGTGGCCAGGGTTTAGTCAGTAGAGTGCTTGCCCAGCACACATGAAGCCCCCAGATTCAATCCCCTGCACCTAAAGCAGGTACAATGCCACGTGCCTATCATAACAGTGTTTGGGAGGCAGAGGCAGCAGGATCAGAAATCCAAGGTTATCCTCAGCTACATAATGGATTTGAGGCCAGCCTGAACATGACAGCTCACACCTCAGCACTAGGGAGGCAGTGGTGGGTGGATCTCTAGAGTTCAAGACCAGCCTGGACTACAGAGAGAGTCCCAGGACAGCTGGGGATACACAGGGACAGTCTGTCTCAAAACAAAGCAAAACTCTGGAAAGCAAACTTCTGTTATTGAATGGATTACCACACGTGCCATGGAAAGAAACATCCCAAAGCTAACTTCTATCACAGCAGACACTACCTGTGGACTCCAAGCACCAGGCTAAGTATCCGTGTCTTTATTGAACGCTCCTACAACCCTGCACAGCTAGGACTTCCTTACTCTCATTTTGAGCAGAGAAAATGAGGCTCAGAGAGGTGACAGCTCTTATGGGTGGAGTTCCAGAGGCAGAAGCATAGCTCAGTAGCAGCATAAGCCTGGGTTCCATTCAAAATATGCCAAACAAACAACAAAACCTGAACCCAGGGCGCTGAACATTTGTGTCCATACTCCCAACACTGAGTCAGAAGCCCAGGAACATGCTTTTCAAAGTAGAAAAGTGGAGGTTTATGTCACAGAACTGTGTTGTAGGAAAACTCAAGCCAGGCCTGGCTTCTTGACTAACATGGAAGAAGAGGTCACCTTCCTCCAGAGCCTCCATCTATCTCAGGCAGTTCTGACCTTTCTGTGGGACGCTCTGCGGGACTGGCATTAGCTTCATTTACAGATAAGAACACAGAAGCTCAGAGAGGCTAAGTGACTTATGCCAGCCATCCCGCCAGCTTTGTGCAGATCAGCCGAAGTCAGGTCTTTGGTTTCTGGAAGGGTCTCTGCCACAGCCCCACCCAGCTCATTCCACAAACTGAGCTGAACCAGTCTGAGAACTCAGAGCCTTTGGGGGAACTCAAAGCACTTCTTTCTGTCCCTTCTTTCCCTGTCTGGGTCTTTCCTGGTGTACAGGGCTGTGCTCATCCTTGGTCCCTGCTGCCTCTTAAGGACAAACCCTGTGGCCCTGGCTGTGCACCCCAGCCTAGCCCTACCTTGCCAATGACGTCATTGCGGCTGAGCTTGTCTTTGTCCATGACAGTGATGATGATGGTGGTCTCCCTCAGTTTCTCCGTGGGGATGTCGAAGGCGAAAGACTCGTTGAAGATGGGGTTCAGGTTCCTCTTCTTCGTCACTGTCTTCTTTTTCTCTACCCGCTTGTCTTTATACATCAGCCACACCTTTACATAGGGGTCTGGAGCATGGTGGTAGAGGAAGGGTTAGAGGAAGGGTTGGAGAACGTGTATGTGTGTGTGTGTGTGTGTGTGTGTGTGTGTGTGTGTGTGTGTGTGT